AGCACATTGCAAAAGGTGGAGAAACGCTGGAACTTGTAAGGGAACATATCTACTTAGGACAGGTAGCCACCGCGGAGCCTAATCATGAGAGTGAAATAACTAAAAGAATAAGGATGAGGTGGATCACATTTACAAGCATTATCAAATCGTGACAGGTAATCTGCCACTGACTCTCAAGAGGAAGGTATATAACAGCTGTATTTTGCCGGTACTTATCTATGGAGCAGAAACCTGGAGACTTACAAAGAGAGTTAAGCTTAAATTAAGGACGATGCAGCAGGTGGTGGATAGGAAAATGACAGGTGTAACATTAAGAGACAATAAGAAACGGAGTGGATCAGGGAACAAAACCGGAGTTAAGGATATCTTAGTTGAAATCATGAAGAAGAAATGGACATGAGTCGGGCACGTAGTACGTAGACAGGATAATTACTGGTCGCTAAGGGTAACTGACAGGATTCCCAGAGAAGGCAAACGCATGAAGAGGAGACAGAAAGTTAGGTGGGCCGATGAGACTAAAACGTTCACAGGTATAACGTGGTAGCAGAAAGCACAAGACCAGGTTGATTGGCGGATCATGGGAGAGGCATTTGTTCTGCAGTGGGGGTATCAGGCTGATGACGATGAAATGCTTGGCCTTTTCGTATGGATAAGAAAACATGGCTCCACACTCTTGATGAGATGAAGGCACAACGTACCATCAGCCAATGGTGAATGAACAACTAAATAACATATTAAGTGTAGCCTGAACACAATGAAAAAGCAAGCAAGATTGTCTGCACATTCAGGTGACAGAGTAAATAATTTCTGTTATGTGCATTGACCCTGCACAGTACATGGTTCTCTGGCATTTGCCCTCCATTAAAACGCAACCAGCCCAGCCTGGAGTGGTCCTGCAGCTTTCAGGTTAGCCGCCAGGCACAGTAACCACTGAGCCACTGTGGTAGATTTACAACAGAATACTTGGTGGTGAGAGCTGCATCCTATACAACACTCCTAACCACTACCAGGTATGCACTACCAGGTATGGCATTGTGCAAGAGAGCTCTTTTGTAACCATTGTGTTACAGCATGAAAAGGGGATCAAATGAAAGAATGAGAGGGAGTCCCACGGGGTTAGTCGAGGCTAGTCTGATGGTCAAGGCGTGAGAATAGCAACAGAACAGAATAGGCGGAAGCCTTGTTCTGTCGATAGAATGGATACAAAATGGCCTCTAAATGATGTGGATAAGATTCAAACGTAAGTGCTTAAGCCTGGAGAATCAAATTAGCTTGTTTTGAGCCTGGCTTACCCCGATCCCGCGCCGATAGTTCGAAAAAATTTGGCGATTAGTGAAATTGCGACGCCATCTAGCGTTGACCCAATACATTAAAGGAGCACTGACATCTAATTTTAAGATCGAGGTGAGCCCATCATTCGATAGCTTGGTATGCATAGGTCTTCTTGGCCAAATTTGAATGGCATCCGTCGCGTGGAAGTTATTTTAATTCGATGTCAAGCAGCGTAGAAAAGCTAGCGAGAAAAAATGAAAAATAAACTGCCCTGCGACATCGACACTAGTGCTACGTGTTCAGTGTGATACATTTCACAAATACCATCCTGAGTGACGATGCGCTAGTAACAATGACGTCGACGATCTGAGTGTGTTCGGAGCCAACTCCCGCCCATGCTCTCACTAATGGCTCTCTTTGCTGTGTTGAAGCGTGTGAGCGATTCATCCTGTGGCATCGACTAATTTGACATGTGCTCCACAGCGTGAGTACGATCATTCAGAGTGACAATATGTTCCAGAATGTCGGGGAACCGCTACGCATTGAAAACCTGCACGTCGAGGCGCGGAAAAAGCGAAGATTGCGTGGCGTTTCATGTCTTTTAGAGCCACGAACCTCAACGCAGCCAGTGGATTTACTTCATATGTGCCGATGGACAGAGAGACTGGACGTAAATTTCGTGTTGGCGAACGAGTTGGGTTTCACTGGCAGTACGAGGCCCTTTCTCGAGGCCGGGGCTAAAGGGAGAGGGGAAGAACAAGTTGGCGCTACTTGACCTAGCCAGTGGAAAATGCATGGAGGGGCTTTAGTCTACATCATCAGAGACACAGCTCGACTGACTGCACGTGCGCTCCTAGCAGACGAAATGCCAGTGTGCGTGACGCCACTATTTTTTGTGAAAGCAGCATCAGCTGTGCAGCAGCCTCGACGTGGCCGCGAGACAGCACTAAAATTTGGCTGGCCTTCGATCCATTTTGAACCATGTTCGATAGCAGATATATTCATAAATATTACAGATATTCATTCGTACCTCATATGCGTTTTTGGTCGCAAATCGCTACTAGGGGGTCGATAGCTTTTCGTCGACGCAAAAATCTTGACATGAGTGAATTTGATGTCAGTGCTCCTTTAAAGGAGCACAGACACAAAATTTGGAAGGCGAGATAACGCGTGAACTCAAATTATCTAGAGACATACACGACTTCTACGAAATATCAAGAGCTAATATAGTCTAGAAAATAATTAAAATTAATTTTAAAGAGCGTGCCGTGCGACTAAGTGAGATGCGGAGTCCCTCAAGATGCCGCCATCACTACAGTGGGAGTGTAAACAAACCTACATCACAAGTTTGTGTTGTCTGTTTGCTTGACACTCGCCTTGTGCTACCTGTGATTTCTTCCTCCATGTCTGTGGTTTTGCGTGTGCTGTCAGTGAGGTGCCCGCTCTCACGTGCAGCACCCATTGACAGTTTTGCGTGGTCACGTGACCAGCTGTGTTTACCTTGCTACCGGAACTGCTCCTGCCCAGCTCCGTGCTCTTTGAAACCAAAACTGCGACTGTGCACTCTAAAAATAAGTAACTGTCGCACATTTGCACAAATGAGGTTTAAAGCAGTGATAAATGGGTCATAAACTAGCTGCTACAAAAAAAAAAAGAGGTGCAAAAATTCTGTGTCTGTGCTCTCTTACAAATATATTGTTGAAGTCATCCCACCTTTTAATCTCAAGCTTTGGAAACCATACCCGCCAATATTGACATTCAGCTATAATAATTCTGTATTTATTCATCTGTTGAAAGCATTTCAGAATTCTGTTAGCTCACCTATTGGCTGTTCGCTCCCTCTCATTCTTCTATAGAAGATCCCTCCTCTGTGCTGTCACAGAACACTTACGAAATAGGCGCCCAAGAGTCCACTGGGACCACACATACTGAATAGAGCTCTACAGCAGTGATCTACTGGCTCGCGAGTACTATCCAGTTAGCACATCCTGAAATGGTAAGTCTCATAGTCAACTCTTAAAAATATACCTCCTCATTACAGCATGGTGCATTTGAAAACTCCAGCACATCAAGTCCATAGAAACCAGAGTGACAATTTTATTGAGCTCGTTGGTGTGGATCCATTGCTGCCGGTCATGTGAATTTCCAACAAGACACGAAAACAAGAAATGACAAGCTATGCATGCTAGTGACTTGTCATTCGTTACGCCTTTCTCAAACATTTGCACTACCAACCATAAGGGGTGACTTAGTAAAGATTCATATTAGCAGGAAAAAGCAGGCATACAGAACATCAACACAAGACCTGTACTCTGCTTTTTGCTAATCTTGGGTCTACGTTTCATTGATTGATATGTGGGGTTTAACGTCCCAAAACCACCATTTGATTATGAGACGCCGTAGTGGAGGGCTCCGGAAATTTCGACCAGCTGGGGTTCTTTAACGTGCACCCAAATCTGAGCACACGGGCCTACAGCATTTCCGCCTCCATCGGAAATGCAGCCGCCGCAGCCGGGATTCGAACGCGCGACCTGCGGGTCAGCAGCCGAGTACCTTAGCCACTAGACCACCGCGGCGGGGCGTGGGTCTACGCTTCATATGCCCGTCTTTTCTGTACCATAAGCTACTTCACCTAACTGTGTGGTTCCACAACAAATGTAGGTCAAGCAAAATCATTAGTGTTTTTAATGTCACATCAACAACATCAACAGAAAAAAAAGGATGTCATTTTTTTTAATTGAAATAGAAAATAAATGAAGGAGTTGTCACTGTTACTAGGCAATGACTACCCCTTTCCACTTGATTGTTACAAATAACATGTCATAAATGGGTGCTTCTAGTATCGAAGAGATTGAAGCCCTTCCCATCTCCCTACAAAGTCTAAGTGTTTAAAAGGATTCTGACACTTCAAATATTAATATCTGGGGTTCTACAAGCCAAAACCACAACACAATTATGAGGCACGCCATAGGTATGGCCTTGGGAATTTGGACCATCTGGTGTTCTTTAACATGCACCAACATCATAGGCTTCCAGCATTTCACCTCCATAGAAATGTGACCACCATATCCAGGATCGAATTCGCTCGCGACATACGGGTTAGCAGCCGAGCACCGTAACCTACACCACCGCAATAGACTTTGATGCTTCAAATGAATGCAGTGCAGAAATTCTGAGAGGCAACATGCTGACGCAAGTAACCTACAGTTCAACTGGTGAAAATCACTCACAGCTGCACCCATCAACTGAAATTTTCATTCAACACAGCAACATATACATACATACAGGAGATCATCCCATGATGCATCATATGAGTATCTAAGCTACAAACTATTGACAGTATGCACAAGTTCTGCAAGAATATCATATACGACCATCCAAAATTCTAATCTCCTTTTCTAGGAGATTGGCTTTTTGTGTAAGCACTAGTTTGTAGCTTACATATGAATATGGTACATCAAATGATGACCTGTATGTATATATATGTGTCCGGGTTGAATGAAATTTTCAGTTAATATTGAGCATTCGTGCAGCTTTAATCTTTGTGTGTTTTATGATGAAGCTCACCAACTCGCTACTTTTTTCAACCTTTGTTTTTTATATTAGAACTTGTTGTTGCTGCTATGGTATTGGTAATCAAGGTATGACGATGGAGCTTTGCTGCAACATATACTAGTAACCTTGCTGGTTAGAAATATAATCACGGAAGGAAGAGCCTATGTGCTTACCTTTTGGGCTCGCTAGTCGACTGCTGGAATATGAATGAGATTGCAAACATAAGCGACTTTTTTCTGTTTACATGCCTCGTTCTGCAATCAATTAGCCACTTATAAGCGGAGGTGTATATCGTTCTGAGCAACTTACCTCATCAATAAGTGTTTCAAACTGCAAAATGAAAAATAATGATGTATGACACAACCAACTTGGCAATTGTAAAAATGGCTAAAACACTGAACTTCTAAAGTACTAATCCATCTTTACTTCGACACGGGGTTTTAATAACAAAAAAGATAGCAACATGTTACTTACTTCGATGAGGCTCGACGTATCGAAGTAACCAGCCGGTTTGACATGCCTGGCAACATAAAGGACGGTAGTTACCGAAACCGCAACGATGAAAGTTATTTAATGCTGCCAAGTTAAGATAGGTACTGTCACGCCCACCGAAGATGATGTTAGCATATGCATAAGCACTAGCATTATGTACAGGAAAGTATGTGATCATATGGACGGAGTCAACCATTACTAAAGAAAAACTTAAGCAGCAAGAATAAACAGTGCTCAATCGTGCAGCACTTGCAAGCATTCCAAGAAACAGCACGAAAATCGTATTACCTAGCTCGCTTGTTTTGCTCTCTACAGCAATAGCTGAAACAAGAGCCCATTCCTTTGAAATTGTAAGCGATCATCTAACTTCCCTTTCTACAACTACCACCATAACTCTTCCTGGTATGAAATGGTGGGCAGAAGATTGCACTTAGTAAGAGCCATTGCATTATGCTTAGACTTATAGGTTAATAAAAAATTCTACACCCTTGCTCGGCGGCTTTCCCGCAAGCACAAATGGAGTATCGGAAGCTTCCTTGAAATACCGTAAATGCATATCACGACCTACTGTACTCCTGACCTGCCCAGCTGGCGACGGTTTACGGAGCTGCCTGCGCCGGCTCGGATGCCGAACTTCACCACCTAGGGAGCGCTCGAGTTACCCCAGCTGAGCACTGGTGGATGCATGGAAATGCATGGGTTACCGCTGGTTCGAGAAGAGTTTCATCACGCATTGAGTAAATATAGCGGGTATCTTGAATTATTTTATTTAATGTGACTTTGAGAATGTTCTTTTGCATTTTAGTTGACATTTCAGTGCATTATTTTTCAAATAGAAGCGCAAATCAGATACAAACACATGTACCAGCGTGCAAAACAAGAAAGAACGATGACAGAGACAGGTTGTAAAAAGTGCTGGCCCTCCAAATATTTATTTAACTCATGATACCGCCTATACGTCTATACAATGGTAGACTTGTCGCACATTCAGCTGGATTGAATTAACTGTCTGGACAAGAAAGTGCAAGGACTATGACATTTGACAGTGGCCGTGGCATCCAGCGCGCATAGAAAACAACCCAATGGAGACAATTTTGCGCATAAATACCTTCGTCTCAAATTGCAAATGTAGATCGCAGCTACATGAATAAATAATGAAAGACACTCTGCAACTGTTTTGAAACAAAACAGGACTTAAAATCACTTATTTAACGCTAATTATTCACACAATTGGTGTGTTTCAAAACCTAGTTGCATAACCACACGTAGTGACATGGTTTTCATATGTGCACTCATGTCATCTTTCTTTTTTTTTTGCTAATAAACAGTTGTGAGTATAGCTCGTCGTCGTTTACTTTCTTGAGGTTGTCTGTTTATTATTTTTGGGCTAATATGCGCTTCAGTCTGTCATGCACCAACAACCCGCCCAGCAACTCCTTTAGAGACACGTAGTCCTTTACGACACAGAAATCACCTCGATCCATTTTTTATGGACCTCGGTCACTGGAAACTCATAAAAAGTCACATCAGGAGTCTTTCCTCGTCTTGATTCGCAGAAAGACACGCAGGACACCACCATCGTGATGGTTAATGTGCACCAAGAAACCTCGCTTTGCTGGTGTACAAACAGCACCGACCTGCACACTTCTGTCGCAGCTCGGCACGAGCTGACGGTAGTGAAAGATCGTCATTATACTGTTAAGTTTACTCAAAAAGAGGTTTTCATTCCTTGTAATCGTCCAGAGTGTAGGCACGCGTAAACATTGCTGCTGATTTTCTTCCAGCGTCACGGGAGCAGACGAAAAAAAAAAAAGCGCAGCGACTCATGTTTTGGCCACCAGCAACCAGTGCGGATGAGGTAAGTTGCAGCGCCACAGGGTGCATAGCGGTAGGCACCAATACCAGAAAGGGCGTGCTGGCGCTTTGCTTGCTGGGCAGGTCAGTAAAATACAGAAGGTCGTGGTTACGTGAGTGTTGAAGATTGGTGGGCAAGTTGGTTCGCCGTACTTGAACTAAAATAGCGCATTACGGGGAAGAAGAAACGGCCGAGCAGACCGACACAAGAGGACAGTCGTGGTTAGTTCGTAGTACCAACGCATCCTCTAGGAAGATGCCTGCCGCATGAGAAAAAAAAAAAAAACAACTGCCACACTCTTTCTCTCTTCATTTTGAATATGTTCTTGGTCGCTAGCGTTACTTGTGGCGGACGGTGCAACAACGCAACACTTTACATAGCCTTCGAAACAGTGATGCACAGTTGCAGGTCTCGAACAACTCTCGACTGACGCGCCCCTATGGGCCGCAGATGAAAAACGCCAAGTTGGTACCACTCGTCGCCGTGATGATAGTGTTAGTCGCGAGCGCCACCGCGCGGAGCTTGTTTAAAACTGAAGGCAGGCCAACTTCGCTGGGAGCGCGAGCCATTCCTCAGGCATCTTTCTAGAGGAGGCGTTGGTAGTACACGTGCTGTCATGCGCTGCACGAAAGTTTCCTTGTGAGCGCAGTTGCCGTATTGTTGTTGTATAGTCGTTCTCGTAGTATCTGCGTTCAGGTTTTTTGCCTTCCGTCGTTTGAGCAGTTCGGTGGTAGTTTCAGGTATCATCTAGCCGGAAAATCAAAGCGCAATGGTGATGTTTCGTTTGCCATTGGCTCATATAAGTGCCCCGATTTTACTCCGTTTCTCACCGTCGTTTATTTTTGCAGCCAAAGGCTGATCAAGCAGAGAAAAAGAGGCGCATACAAGCCCGGACGTCAAGGCCGGTGCATCCAAACAGCCGAAAGGCTCAGCAGATGGCGAGGAAGAAAATTCACTGCAGCAAAATCACTACGTAAGGCTACTGTCTTGAATGGGCATGCGTCGGAAATGTGTAGCAAACATGAATTCTTGAAACCCTCGTTTTGTTTTGCAGTAGGAAAAAGCAGTTAGCACTCAAGCTGAAAAACAAACGTAAGTTGATTCTTTTAATTGATTTAGGTGCGACAGTAAATGTCGTGGACGCAAGCGCTTTTATGTTCAGCATGTATTGCTGGCATGCCCCTGTCATCCACCTTGATCGCTCTCTTTCAGTCGAGAAGCTTGCCTGGTTTCGCGAGAACCTGCCTACCCTTGAGAAAGACAGGCTCGCCCCAGCAGAGTTTGACTCATTGATTGAAAGGTGAGATTTGCTAATCCTTTATGCTCATGGCCAAAGGCTGATGAACGCAAGATACAGTTTGTATTTTTAAGCCCTAGCGAAAGCCACGCGGCAGTAGCGGCGTGTTTTATTTTTTTTTAATTACATGCACTGTTGTCTTTCAGAAGGTGCATTTATCGTCTGATAAAATAATAATTTTAATAGTTCTTGTGGTTTAACGTCCCCAAAACACCATATTATAAGGGACGCCGTAGTGGAAGGCTCTGGAAATTTCGACCCCCTGGCGTTCTTTAACGCGCGGTTAAATATAAGCACACAGGTTTCAAGCATTTTCGCCTCTATCGAAAATGCGGCCAGGATTCGATCCCGCGACCTGTGGGTCAGCAGCCGTGTGCCTTAGCCATCATAATGGGTTGCATTTATTGTCTGTGACACAGTCACATTCATCCCGATAAGTTATTCCTTCTCTTCACACTTGCAGGTACTTCCGGCGTTTTGACGGGGAGCTTGAGCACGTTGATAACATCGAACGCATTCGTGGCACCGTCACTCAGTTCAAAGGGCGATTAGATGCCATCAAGATCACCCTTGAGAGTGAGATCCGAAATTACAATTCATGTGGCATTGAAGCACCAGATTTGCTCTCGCCAGATGCATTCAAGCTTTTCCTGTAAGTATGGTGCATCTGTCCACCTCTTCTTGTTTTACAGCTTCGTGTGCTTTTGGATGTCACCGTACAAGTAACCTTCACACTATGTCCATAAAGAGGCCCTGCAACACTTTTAGAGCTTGGTCAGAAAATGCTGTCGATCGGTAGAAGAGACTCTCGAAAACACGTGAGCCGAAAATTTCGGGCAGCATGTGGCCTGAAGTTCACAATGAATGATCAAAGTCAGGTAAAAAGTTGCTTTCTCAACAAATGTTGGAAGAATAAATGAATGAAATGACTGAAGAATCAATTGCTCTCGACAAATGACGGAAGAAGCTCAGAAATCGTATGTCATGGCCATTGTATCTGCCATTGGCTGATTTGAGCATGGCGCACTCTGTCATTACAGGGATCGCTGCGGGAGGCCATGACTTGTCCATGTGTGCGCGCGCCATTACACTGAAAGTCCGCATATTCAAAGAGAGAGCAAAGGCACTCGAGGTAATGACATGCGCGTGACATATTTTCTTTGTCCGTGCCATCCCTCCTTTGCTTAGCTTCCAGCGCTTTTGTTGGGACGAGACAAGAGAGAATGCAATCGCGGTGTGTGATAAATCTTTGCAACTCCTCTCTTACTGGACGATTTTTAAAAGTCCTTGTGGTGAATTCGTGAGGCAATAAGCTCCTTTAGTGAATCCATTTCATGGCTAGTTGAGAAAGTGTTGCTGGGCTTTTTTAGTGGCAATTACATAATTTATTGTACTTACGGCAGCACAAGCGTGCTCCTCAATGTCACCATTTGATAGGACTTGAAAACAGTTGAAAAAGCAGCACACCTACATCACGAGTTTGTGTTGGCTGGTTTCTGGCACATGCCTTGCGCTTGCGCTACCTTTGATTTCCACCTCCGTTTCTGCAGCTTCGCCGCGTTTGTTGACTGTGTTGTGACGTGGGCGCCACATGCTCGTGCACACTCTCTTGCATAGTGCCCATGTCCAGGCCAGCTGTGTTTACCATGCCCATGGAACTGCTCCTGCTTAGCTCGGCGAAAATGAGACTCGACGCTCTAAAAACGTCTCTAACTGGATAACAGTCATGCACTTATGTAAATGAGAATTCCAACCATGATTAGTGAGTCATAAGCTACCTATTGCAACAAAAAAACAACGGTGCACAATTCTTGTGTCCGTGCTTGTGCAAAGGGACCATGAAATAAAACTTTTGTTTTATCAATAATACATCGCTGATATGTGGACAGGGCTTCTGTGAACATGCGATCCCAACATTACTACACTCTATGTAGTAGCAAAGTTAATCTCATGATAAAATAGTTTACGCTATCCTTTGCAATGTTGTCAGCAATGCAGTAAATAGACCGAAAGGCTCAAGCAACTATTCAATTTAAAAGCAAATATGAGGCCTGTTAGAAAAGTATGAGACCTTTGGTGGAAGAAAAAATCTGGAATAATAGGAGCGTTGAAAACCTAATCCTCCTCAAAGTAGTCGCCTTGGGACTCCACACTTCTCCCAGCGGTGCTGCCATTGTTGGAACCATTCTCAGAAGGCCTCTTTCAGAATTGAGGTCAGCTCAGCTGTCGTTGCAGCCATGTCTTCCCTTGTCTGAAACAGCTCTCCTTTCAATGTCCTCTCGAGTTTGGGTCGCAAAGGGCCATATCAGGAGAGTAAGGAGCCTGTTAAACTACAGGAGTGAATTTTCACCAAAGAAGTCTGAACCAAGTGTGAGGAATGAGCAGGAGCACTGTCATGATGGATGCGCCACTTTCCTGTTGACCACAACTCGGGTCTCTTGCACCGCACAGCATCATGTAGGCGACTGAGAACATCACTGTAGTATTGACCCTGTGGTGATTACTCGTGGGGTGCTACACCGCTGGAGTAAAAGAAAAGCACTCAGCATCACTTTGACGTTGCTGTGCACTTGGTGGGCCTTCTTCGGTCTAAGTGACGTGGAATGCTGCCACTGTGACGACTGGGATTTGGTTTCCGGGTTGTACCCATACACCCAAGATTCGTCACCATTGATAATTGTGTTCATGAAGTTACCGTCACTTCTTGTGAAATCAAGCATGTCCTGTGAAACTTCAACACAAAGTTGCTTATGCTCCACCGTTTCACCGCAAGTCTCATGGCCAAATCTTCGGTCACAATGGAATGTGCAGAGAAAGTGCTGATGCCCACCTCTTCCACAATTTTTCGGATAGTCACACGACGGTCCTGCATCATCATAGCTTTCACTTCGGCAATGACCTGGTCGTTTCAGCATGTTGATGGCCAACCGGAGCATGGCTTGCTCTGCACCGATGTGTGACCGTCTTTAAACCGGTTGTACCACTGCTTCATCTGTGTGCGAATCATAGCGTTGTCACCGAAAGCTGTCTTGATCTTCCCAGTGGTCTCCACTTAGCTGTCGCCCAGTTTGTGGCAAAGTTTGATGCAGTAGCGCTGCTCGAGTCCCTCCATCATTTTTTTTTGCAATGAAAAACCAACTAGAGCACCGCGCATAACCTCACTAAAATGCTGCGTTTCAGCGACTTACGCTATTGGCAGTTGGGAAAAAATTCACGCATGTGAAAAAATTCACGCATGTGCACGAAGGTTCAAGGCCGGCTGATGCAAGCACATGTGTTTCAAATTTATCAGGTGCTCCCAAAAAAATAAGGTTGGATACTTTTCTAACAGACCTCGTATACTAGATCTCAGGAGATCAAAAGTATGAACTTTGCTTTGCAAAACGAAAGCATGATTGCTTCAATGCAGAAAGCTGGGGGTAATTGGATAAGTGAAGCATTATATAACTTTTTAAATAAAGTGAACAAATGAATAAAGAGACAAGGATCTACCTGTATTTTGCATTATACTCTTGCAGGGGCGAGTTTTTTCTTTTTTGTCCATTGAATTATAGATATTACACCTCAATGAAAATACACGAAATAACTTCCCTTGGCCTATTATCTGTCGGTTTCAAGGTCGCCATGGTTAGAGAACCACCAGTGGCATCCTGAGAAAATACTAATTCAAATGTGCTTCCTGGAGATTGCCTGCTATTTTTTCACGTAGGGGGAGAGGATTTGCGGGTTGTTCAATAGTACTGACAGTTTTGCTGCATATGTCAAGATTTTATTTTATAAGGTTTCACAAGTTGTATTTTTCATTCAAAACTGTTCAGTGCAAATTTAGCAGGAACTGTAGCTTGCAAAACATGTTTTAAAATTTTCCTTTTTTTTTTTTTTTTTTTCAGGGAGTGGGACGGAAGCTCTGTGAATTACCTGCCGAAAATTGACATGCGCACAATTTCTAAGGCCACGCTGGAACGACTAGCACTCCACTGAGTCAAAATTTTTAAAAAATTTGTTGAGACTATTATGTGTGTATTTATGTAAGCTTGCAAACAAGCTGTGTAAATATGTTTCAAAACTTGTAACTTTGTGTTGGCATGTTTTAAATTTCTGTACTGCGTTTGTTACAAATAATGCAGCTCATGGTTGAACATTCGTTAAAATCTTTTATAATCCACTGCCATCAATCATCCGTAAAAAAATGCCAAACCTGAGCAGACCATGCAGCACTGTCGCAGTGAAAGCTGGAAGAGCAGCTTTTCTAAAGCTTGTTCCAAACTCTTTTGGGGAAACTAATACAAGTGTACTCCAAGGAATGAACTACACTCGAAATCATAACTTCTATGAAGTAGGGAAGCACCTCATGTGCCATTATTTGTCATTTCGAGTAGAAGTGAGGTACCTGCGTGAAGCATTATGTGCACTTTGTTGATGCTGTGACTGAGGAATATGAATTATGACTGAACATTTTGTAGTGGGTGGGAAGCTTTAAACCACACACTTGTTGTGCAATACACATTGCACGACGAATGGTTAACCCCTAACTGTTTTGGACTGGCACAGCTCACCCTTGCCAAACTGCCCAAACTGTCTTGAACGAATTTGGCTCGTTCACTTGAAAAAATGCCCCTCCACAAGCACTTTGAATGAGGCTGTCTCGTTTACAAGCTACTTTGTGTGTCCCTTCACTTATGGCAGCACTGGGTTTTTTTATCGTCGTGTTACCCACCATTTCAAATTTTATCAAGACTTGCGTTTAGGTGTCCAGTAAAGGCGATGTCTGCATTGCTTATGCATTGTTTCAAAAAAAAAGTCTTCCATCATCGTAGAGCTCTTCAATCACACTAATTATTCAGACACCGATGTTTGCTTTGATGAGTTGACGTGTGATATTTACCAGTTTCTCGATGATTACGTTATTTCACACATTGTGAAACACTCAAATAGACAATTGGACAGTAAAATTTGTTATGCTAATGTGATATATAGGCTTCAACTTTCTTGTTTTCGTCAATGAATACATGCTTTTTAGAAGGAAAATATTCAACGTCAAATGAAAAAAAAAATAATCTTTTTAGACAGAAAAACTAAAAAAATGGCTATTGACTGGTGAATGCTATTCTTGTGACAAGTGAGAAAAGCTTGTTCAAATGATGCACTAAATGTGGACTTTTGCGACAGTGCATACATTATGTCTGAACAGTTGAACATTCAGAATGGTGGTTGCAATTATGAATTCGTAAAACAGGAGTCCTGCAAGTTGGTTTTTATAAAGAGCATGTGCAAGACTTTACAAAGTATGTACCTGTGCTTTCTGCTAAGGGCAAGGAGCTCAGAAATATCAGTTGGCTGCCGAACTATTGCAACAGCAGTGCACTTACCGAAAATGCCTTATTTGGGTAAAATAATTGACTCATGTATTTTCTTAAGCAAAATGAAGACGGCCTCTTTCGAGTCTCTGTCATATAAAACAAGTTGAAATTGGTCATTTTCTACAATAAATAAAGGGCAGCCTTTTTTCACTATATGGGATCACGATATGGAATGCTATTTCTCATCTATGGGAACTACATGAAAAGTGTGCCTGCAATTGCCCACCAGCATGCTAGCCGACAATCGCAGAGATGACACTCCATTTCAGCTGTCACTCTTTGTCCTGCGATACACAGTTTGAGAGGTACATTTGCAAAAAAACTGCTTAGAATAATCATTGACTGTTGGAGCCCACAGTGAATTAAATTTCTTGCATCAGTCCTCAACTGTAGCAACAATGATGTTTTAATAAGGCAGGTAAATATGCTGTGCTATATTCAGGTCAGAAATACATGTCTATTAATGTGAAGCTTAAAAGAAGTATTTCATTATATGAAACAATTTCTTACATTATATATGTTCATTGCACCGAGCCCTTTTGTTTTTGGCTGCAAAGTACTTTGTGCTCTAATTTGTATTCTCTAGACTGTAAGAATAGCAAATTTTAAGCTCAATTTGGATTTGAAGTGAATAGTGATTTGCTTGAATAATTGTGCATCAAATTCGAATACTATTTATCACAAATATAATGAGCATATTAGGCATGATTTAACTAACCAGCACATTTTTTTTTTCTAAGTGCGAAGCATTTCTTAACGAAAATCGGTAACTTTCAGCGTATCTATCTATTTATCAATCTATCTGTCTATCTGTCTTTATGTCTGTATCTATCCGCTTACGTTTGGGTGCTCTCGTGGTCATCCCCTCAACTTAGTGTAACCCAAAATTAGCATGGAAGGGTAAGATGGTGTGACGAATATAACACTCTGGTCAAGACATGAGTAATGTCACAATCCCGTCGTGTACATTGTCAAACAATTCCCGCCAGACAGTGGCTCACACCCATGGGCAGGTATGTGCCGCTGGCATGCGGGTATGAGCCACAGGTCATCGTCAATTAGTATCGAGCCAGGAAGGACAAGAACACACATGGGCAATTTTAACGCGCAAGCGCTAATACCCGACATCGGTAGTGTCGACCCGACGAATGCAAAGAATAAATGTGCACACACACAAAATATGATATGAATGCATGCATGGTACACAGAATGATTTGGCAGCTCTGCTATGCGAATGAATCTAAGTCAAAGTAAGAACCTTTTTTTGAAAGTGGCAAATGAAACAAAGAATCTCTACAACCGCCATCTTGAGCAAGACTAAGCACAAAGCAAGACCACTTTATGAAAAGTCCTGTGAGAGGACACACTTAGGGTTTGTTTAAAACTGAATTCCAGTCAAGTTCCAACTCGCTTTGTATTGCACAAAGGCATAGCCAGTTGGGTACACTGTGAACACCCATGTGCAAAATAAAACACAAAGGCAAATTATTAGACTTGGTTCAAACCTCATATAAATGGGTGGCCATTTAGTTTTTCTACTTAAAACTATTAAAGAAAAATTGATGCTCGTCACAGCTATTATGAAGCTACTGAATACCATGGAAAATGGTATAGTAACACTTATTCTTTTATGCAAAAACAATGATTACAGTTTTATGATTACTCCAGTACACAATGACATGTTCTGTCCTAAACATTTCACCTATATTCTAGGCCAATCTTAGGTGGTTGAATGAATGATTCACTGTGGTGGGACTCTCAATTGGTGTAGCAGAAGAGCCGAACAGCGAAGCTTTTGAATGGCCTTGACCATGTTGTTCCAACAGCTTCACTGGCCAATCAGTAGAGTCACTTCCAAGTGTGTGACCCTCATTAAACTTACTCTGGAACTGGCCCATTGCTGTATCAGTAGGGTGGCCATGCATACTTGGGTGGGCTTACTTTATAAAAGGGCCCTGCAACACTTTTTCAGCGTGGTCAGAAAACACTGCCAATGGGTAGTTGAGGCTTCTTGACACACGAGCCAAACATTATAGTGCATGCAACATGTTGCTTGGAATGCACAATCAATTTTCAAAGCCAGCTAAAAATTGTTTCCTTTTCTTTTTTAAAGAGATGCCATATACCCAAATGAATGTGCCATACACCCAAATTCATGGCACTTGGCTGATATGTGCATCGTGAGCCTTGTTACCAAGGCCACCACGTGTCCTTACAATCACGCTGAAAGCAAGCCACATGACCGAAAAAGAAACCAAAAATTGCTGCTCAAGGCCATGAATTGCACGTATCGCAACTTCTTTCCTTTCTGCCATCCCTTGCTGCTTAGCTTCCAATGCGCTCGTGGGGTGAGAGAAGAGAGAAATCAATTACAGTAGATTCACAATAATTCAAACTCTGATAATTCATAATTTTGGTTAATTCAAACAAAAATCCATTTTTTTGGTTGGCCCTCTATTCTTTCAGAGTATTTAAAAGCTTCTTAATTCAAACTCATCATGTGGTTAATTCATACTTTTTGCAGTACCATAACTGAAAATCTGCTGCTTTCTCACTACTACTTAAAAATTTGTGTGCTTATATAATATTAACAGTCTAAAAATTACAAATAGGCGTCTAAGGCCTTCAAGGAAAAAGGCTTTGCTAGTAAACAAATCTTTAAATGAAGCACACGCATGGTAAACTGTGATGCTTCTCAACTGGTATAGAGAGCTTGTGCTGAAGGCACACACATAAAACAAGCAGTTGGCAATTCATGATTGATTTAAAAGGTCTGAATAGCAGTAAATAGCCAATAAACTTGTGGACCTTACACCTGTGGTTTTTGTTCATAGGGTGCAGTGAGGGTTTAAAATTAAAAATGTTTACAAAATTTTAAAATGTGATAAAATTAATATGTCACTTTGCCCAGAGTCATATATCTGAGACTTACTGATAATTCAAACTTTTTGATATTTCAAACAAAATTCAAAGGACACTTCGGGTTTGAATTAACGGGAGTCGACTTACAGCATGTGACAAATCTTTGCAATTTGGGTTGTACTCGAGTGACTTGACAGATTCTTAAAATTTTTGCAGTGGCTGATTATGGCTGATTAATAAAGCAGTAAACTACTTAAAAAAAAAAAGACTTAAAAAAGTGTTACAGGGCCCCTTTGAAAAGATCGCACTTTACTGGTCAGAGACCACCCAAGCAGGCACACTAAACTACAAACATGAGAAGCTGTTCTAACATACCTTTTACATAATGTTAGACATTTTAATGCATGATTCCATCAAGAAGTCATTGCCATAGATTATGCATTATTAGGTAGTGTGCCCTCTCTTCACATTCCCTGCCACTTCCCTTGACCTCGTCTACCATCTCTCTGTCCGGGTTCACATACTTGAACACAGATGGTGCTAGCGACTTTTTACAGACAAGAAAAAGTTCTGATCGTGACACTCGTATTGTGGCTGTAAAATGTTGCAACAGTGCAGCAGCTGGTCACATACTGGTGCTGCACCTCAGTCTCTAGTAATGGCACGTAGAAAGTGTCATTACTTGAAAGTCCCGAGTAATCCATACCTTTATGGTGATGATAGAAACCTTGTCACCACTTACCTTCCTAGGATTCTTTTTTTTTTTGCCAAGTACCAGGACGTAGTGCCACAGATTATGTCCTGGCTACTGTAACTTCTTAGGAGACTTGCCAGTTCAAGCCTAACGGCTTTAAATGCCTCATATGTGCAGCATCTTGCACAAACTTTAACAGCTCATAGAATGCAGTCAGAGAGTATTGCTCATTTATGCTTATTTTCTGCATATTTCTGCACAAGTCCATCATCTAGTGCTTTTTGCACTGCTTCATTGACTAAAAATATGTGCAAAAAATACAATTTTTCATGAAAGATGTGCGAAATGGCAAGAAAACTTTTTCTAAAGCATCAAGTCAAGCTTAATAATATAGTGTATATACAGTCTAATCCAGACACAGAATTATTTGCTATATCAAACACTTGAAAACACACACTGGCAATCTCCTGTGAAAGTATAGCACTGTCCTACTTGTATATAAAACAAACATTACATACAAGATATTGAAAGCTCTATCACTCACTGCAAGTGTTCTTCACCTAAATGACCTGATTACTTGAGTCATCAAAAATTTTCATGTTTATCCATTGGCATTCTTCCAGCAGATGCTTTCAAACAGGGCATTTAACCAGAATGGCAGTACAAGGAATGGCAGAAAGTGAGCAATGTGCGTGCCTCTGTGTAAGGCTGTCTCAACCAGCGGAGATTTTATTCGGGCTCCATAGAAATATATTTGCTTTATGCTTCGCTGCAATAAGGCAGAGTAATGCAGTGAATAATAATAGCAGAGAACTGTTGTGCAGTAAAGCACACAGCCTCTGGTCATCTGTTATTGAGGGGCAGGGGAATAATGGGGGAGGGAAGGCAAAGTGCAAAACCATGATATGCTTATTTGGTGGAGGACTTAAAAGTAATTATTGCCTTCCGTAGTCCTTTCATGCATACATAAGTCTAAATACGTGGGTGCTTTTGCATTTTACTTATTGAAATGTAGCTGCCATGGCCGGGAATCGAACCTGCGCCCTTGTACTAAAGTCAACACATCTTAGCTGCTAAACTAGCACAGCATGTGCTACTGAAAAGAGGGGTTCCACACTGTTCTAAGGTTGCAAAAGACCTCTTTATTCAATATCAATGTTCTCCAAGGCATGTATGATAAATTACGTAAACTACTATGTCTTCGATGTGAAGTTGAATATAGAAATTTCCTTGTGTACTGCATTTCAAAATGCAGTTAAACATTACAATGCAAGTGTGAATTTTTAAATATAGCTTGAGATAGACATTTGTTTTTAAATATATATCCTTCTGTTCTGAAATATCTGGGTTTAAATGTACTGTAATGACAAAATTTATAAATATTGCCAAACATTGCAAAATAACTCATTTTTAAAGTTTACAACTCTAACTCAGCTATAAAAAATTATATTGAAATTCTGTAAACTGCAGCTACTGGTAGTATATAACAGACAGAATTTATGTACTGTAGACTGCTCAGAAAAAATGCCACTAATTTCAGAAGAACAGAACAAAAGCCAAATTTAAATTACGAAGGGCAACCAGGAGTGAAGAAAGGACTTTTACAAGGTCTTGTGATTTTCTTTTTTTTTAAAACTTTGCTGTATTCAGAAAACAAATAATATTTAGGCTTTATAGCAATTTGAATATAACTTCCTCTTTCACATGCAACAAATTTATTTTAAATTGGCTCAAGAGTATCCCACAAAGGATTTCTGCATTTATATTTCAGTAAGGCAACTGAAGTTAGACCACATGGTAAAGCTTCTTAAGTTCAATTTGAGTATCTAGGACCAATCAGGCTGCCGCAGGTACTGGAAGACACAAGCCATGCTGTTTTGGAGTTGTGTAGCCAATTCTTTTAAACAGTGCAAGTAATCGTGGAACCACCTGAAATCAGTTACATTTGCTTCACATACTAATGATCTCACGAACTATGTTAGACAGCAAATTGACAGAAAGTAATTGATTTCACTGTTAAAGCCTAGATCGAGATATGAAGTGTAGCTTATTTTTCTGCATTTGCCCCATCAGCCATCATAGAAACAACATTTCTGAAAGCAAAACTAAGTAACATAAAAGTCCTGCTGAAGACAACCTTTTTAAAATATCTGGACGTCCATTTTTCAAAATGCAGCTGGGAGATGCATGAGCACATTTCTCACATACATTCCATAAAAGAAAAAGAGGCAAAAAGAAGCATACTTGGCGAGTCTTTCAGCCATGCAACAACATTTGTCATCTGGATAGCATGCATCTCCTCTTTGAAAAATTTTACTGACTACTTTCCCGCAAAGAATGTTGCCACACTGATAGTGATAGCACATGTTCTGGGTGTACCAGGCACATGGCTATAATACCAATAAAGGCGTACAGGATAAATGATTATTGTTGCGTCAGAAAGACACCTTCAGTACAACTTTCTTTCAGCTTGCAGGTTTAGAAGAGTTAAGTGCACTAGCGATATTGTGGAGATGACACCCAAGCTTGTGGCCAACAACACTTTCGTGGTTCACATGACCTTCATGACGTCGGGTAGAATAGATTTACATCACTACTTGCTGGCAGTAATTTCAAAATTGAAAACTCCGTGGTAAACATTGTGCGATATTAAATGGCTGGAAAATGAACCATGCATATTATTGCTCCTGTTATGGCCCCTATGAAGCTGTGCAGCGTGCAAGATTATCTGCAGATATTGGTGTTTGCACTTGATTAAAGGGGTACTGACACCATTTTTCAGAGGCGAGTTTACTATGCCATACAAATCTCCTGTTGTGAAGATGGCCCTCTGTAAACCTGAAGCTCAGCAAATGCTGATATTTTATTTTGATACGAGTCATTTCTAGCATGGTGCACTTAGCGACATCGGCACTAGCTTGATGTCAGGCTACAGTGAAAATTCCCATGACTTCAAGCAGCAGCCTAGCAAGAACGTGATGATGTTAGGTACAAAAAATTTCAAAATAATCTCTTGTTAAATGGCTGCTTCTGCATCGTCAATGGAGCCACGGAGCAGAATTGCTGCATGAACGTCACAACACCTTGCGCGACCACATGGTGAGAAGCTTATTTAGTGTTGTGATGTCGGAGTACAGTAGAATCCAAAATTAGCTTTAAAAAAAAATACTCTCATTACTTTTTGTGACAACAGCAAGAACTGAGTGAACCAGTGTGTACTGCGCTTGTCTTGTGTTAGAACCATCGCCAACCAGTGAAACGATAAGCAACCCACCATGCCTACATATACTCGCAACTCGCATTGTTTGTTCAATAAAGCATTCTTGCAAAAGCTGCAGCAGCATCCACGTCTGTTATTACAGTGACGATGAGGCACAGTTGTGCCCATGCGGGAGGGGCGGCGCTGGCAGGATGGCCATCGGCGTTCGCATCGGTAAGTTTCACCTGAAGAGCAACTCTTAATGGGAAGACTACAGTGAGCGCATCGAGTTATGCTGCGCTGCTAACAAGCTCACCAAAGACGCCGCCTAGAGGGCAGGGTTGCTGAGTTGCTGTGGTGAAGAGACATACTCCCTGATAGCCACCCTTGTAAAGCCTCTTAGACCATCGAACGCCGACTATCAGTCCATCATAGAGGCAGTGAAGAACCACATCAATCCAAAGCCCTCGGAGCTGTATGCGATGTATGTGTTCTCCAAATGAGACCAGCACGACGGGCAGACAGTCGCCGACTATGTTGCAGCTTTACGCAAGCTGGCCGAGAACTGTGGATTCAGCGACAAGCAGCCCCCGCTGGACATAATGCTCAGGGACCGGTTAGTCTTTGGGATTTCCGACAGCATAGTGCAGCAGCGCCTGTTGGCCGAGAAGAACCTAACCTTTGAGACAGCCTATGATTTAGCAGTCACAGCCGAATCTGCTGCAAAACATCAAAAAGCTATGGGAAGTCAGCGTCAGGAAAGTCGGGATGTTACAGCCAAGGAGGGCAGGCAATGTCTGAAGAAAGGGCACGATGAAACTGCTTCAGGCACGCACTTGGAACGACGATGTTTCCGGTGCTCGGGCAACCACGCTGCTTATCGCTGCAAGCTTAAAAACGCAGTATGTTTTGACTGTTCCGGCAAAGGTCATATAGCCAAGGCATGCTGAAAAAAAAGAAGTGGACAGGTGAACCACCAGCTTGAAAGTTCCGCAAGTTCAGCGCAAATTGAGTATGATGACTTGCTAAATATTAGCCAAGTAACCAGCCGTTGTTACAAGTTTATGGTTACTGTAAACATTGGCGGACACGCTGTACTGATGGAAGTGGATTCCGGAGCAGCCAGATCAACTCAGTAACGTATGCTGTCGGGCTAGTTGGTGTGTAACTGTGCAGAACATCGTTCGCGCAAACTTAAAAGACGAAAGAAAACACTCGGAAAAGCGCTTTTCAGAGTCTCTTCTTTCGTTTTTTAAGTTTGCGCCAACGATGTCCTGCACAGTCAGATCAATTATGAGTGAAAAATTGTTCAGAAAACTGAAGGTGGCAACAAGCATTAAGCTTGAAGAAGCAGACCCACAGCTCTTAACTTGGACCAAGGAAGGCCTAGACGTCATCAGAAAAACTACACTTCCAGTCAAGTTTAAAGAGCAGGACTACAAGCTGCTGCTTCTCTTTGTAAGGAACGAAGGCAGCATACTTCTTGGGCGTGACTGGTTCCAGGCTTTGAACATCAGCGTTACTAGACTTCATAGTATTGGCCAGAATGCAGAAGCGGTTATTGAAAAATTTCCGGAAGTTTTTGGGGAAACTTTTCCTGGCCCAGCCTTACCGGCAGTGCACGTTGAACTGAAGCACGACGTCCAACCTAAGTTTCTTAAATGCTGCAAGCATTCCTTTCACTCTTAAGGATGACGTCATCATCGAGCTGGATAAAACTACCTTCGTGAACGAACCACAGTTGACTTAACATGTTAAAACCAGCACCTGTCCGTCGTCAAAAGTCTCCGACAATGCCGAGATGGAGGCAGGGGAAGTGGAGCGGCGACATTTGCATTATTTTCTGCCATTCTCTTAAATGCCACAGCATTCCTTTCGCTCTTAAGGATGACGTCATCACCGAGCTGGATAAACTGGAGCGTCAGGGTGTTTTGAAACCAACCCAGTATGCGGAATGGGCCACTCCTGTGGCGATTGTGTGAAAAAAGGATGGGTCGCTGAGAGTATGCGGTGACTACCGAAGCACAGTCAACCAAGCGGTAAGAAACAACGTTTACCCTTTACCTACTAGCAAAGAACTTTTCACAAGACTAGGAAAAAGCCGTATTTTTTCTAAAATTAACGCAGGCGTACCAGCAACTGGCGGTGGATGATTCGTCAGCAGATGTGCTCACTATCAACACAGTAAAGGGCCTGTACAAAGTGCGAGGCTTGCCGTTCGGTGTGTCGGTGGCGCCCGGATTATTTCAAAGAACATTGGATACATTGCTTGCAGGTTTACCGCATGTGGCGGCCTACCTTGACGGCATTCTGGTGGCAAGCAAAACTTCTGAGGGACATCACGAGGTCCTGAATGAGGTTTTCAACCGAATCCTGAAGAACCAACTTTGTGTTCAATGTGCCAAGTGCCAGTTTTTCAAAGAGAGCCTGGAATACTTGGGACACCGGATAGATGGAAGGGGCACCTACCCGTAGAAAGGCAAAGTCGAGGCCATTCATCAAGCACCTATACCACAGAATAAAAAGGAGCTTCGAGCTTTCTTGGTATGGTGAATTTTTGCAATCACTTCCTAAAAGGCCGTTCTGAACTCGCTGAAGTGTTGTACCGCCTACTGGACAGTGACAGTACGTGGCGATAGGGTGCAGAGCAGCAGCAAGCTTTCGACAGACTAAAGAAGCTGCTGACGTCAGAGTCACCTTTGGTACACTTCAATCCCGAGGCACCACTAATTCTGTCTTGTGACGCATCGTCAGTGGGTGCAGGGGCTGTTAGCTCACCGAGACGCTGAAGGGCTAGAGCAACCTGTTGCTTACGCGTGAAGTACACTCACTAAGGCGGAGCGTAACTATGCCCAGATTGACCGCAAAGCGCTCGCCATTGTGTATCGCGCTCGTCACTTTCACCAGTACCTCTGCGGCTGGCAATTCAGCGTTTGTACTGATCATAAACTACTTCTGGGCATGTTTCAACGAGATAAGCAGATCCGATAGTTGTCACCACGCATGCTGCGCTGGTTTTTGATGTTATCTGCTTATGAATACGAATTGAAGTATAGAAAGATGCAAGATCACAGACATGCTGACTGTCTTAGCAGGTTGCCAATACCCAGAGACCGGCCAGATATCGAGCCGCCAGGCGACGTCCTTATGTTGGAAGCAGTCAATTACCCACCTGTGAGTGCATAAGATGTCGCATCAGCCACTCTGCACGATCCTTGTCTATCCCAGGTAAAAAAATGGGTCAGGGATGGCTGGCCTGAACTAGGTGTCCCGCTAGAGTATGCTGCCTATCACGTGAGGCGCAAAGAGTTGTCACTCCACCACTACTGCCTAGTGTGGGGCAACAGGGTCATACTGCCAGACGAACTCCGAAAAAATGTTCTCTGCATTCTGCATGCAAACCGTCCTGGCATTATGACCATGAAAGCTCTTGCAAGATCATTTGTATGGTAGCTAAAGAGCGATGCTCAGATCGAAGATTTTGTTCGTCATTGCAAACCATGCAAAGCGAACAGGCAAAGCAAGCCTAAGACGCTTGTTCATTTCTGGGCGAAACCCGAAAATCCATGGAATAGAGTCCATTTAGATTTTCCAGGGCCAGTTGACGGTGTGTTCTTTCTTCTTGCCGTGGACGCACTGTCAAACTGGGCTGAGATATAAATCATGCCATCGTTTCAATCGTCAGCGGTGATAGATAAACTTCGCAGGATGTTTGCTTCATACGGATTACCAGAGTTGGTCATTTCGGACAATGGAACGGTGTTTTCGAGCAATGAAATGCAATCTTTTTGGATGAGAAATGGTGTTCACTACATGTATACAGCGCCATACCATCCCGCAAGCAATGGAAGGGCCGAGCATATGGTTCGCAAAGCCAGAGCACAGTGGCATGTAAGGTCTCCCGTTTTCTATCCAAGCAGCACTCCACGCTGCGCACAAAAACCGGGAGAACACCAGCAGAACTCATGCTAGGAAGGAGCTTCCGTTCTACCTTGTCAAGCCTGCAGCCCGACGTCGACGCAAGGTGTATGAGACAGCCAAAGTCCACGTTCAAGCGTGGTGATCCTGTGTACGTGACTTCTCTCGTGGTCAGAAGTGGTTAGCCACGCACGTACTAAGGTCCTTAGGCCACGTCATGTATGAAGTGCAGACTTCGAGTGGTGCAATACATCGACGTCATCGTAACCATGAGCACAGAGCATAGAGGTCTGCCCCATTGGACAATGCTGACACTCACTTCCAGTTTCCAGCGACTCCAGATACAGTGCCTAGATTGCCGGTGCGAGGAGCTACTATGCTAGCAGCTAACGGGCCGACATTGACTGTACCTGATACAACACAAGCATGCCGCCGTTCTACTCGTACACGGCGACCAGTGCTTCGCTATGGCATTGACTACTAGAGGAAAAGGGATGTAAAAGCAGGACCTGAGTGAACCAGTGTGTATTGCGCATGTCTTGTGTTAGAACTATCGCGAACCAGTGAAGCGATAAGCAGCTCGCCATGCCTACATATATTCGCATCGTTTGTTCAATAAAGCATTCTTGCAAAAGCTGCTGCGGCGTCCACATCAGTTATTACACTTTTTTAGGGTGCACTCACGGTTAGAAGTACATTTTCTAAGCTTTTGAATGCCTGGCCTTTCATTTGATGAAAAAAAAAAAATCGGACACTGAAAACTTTCGTGTCAGCACCTCTTTTGCGCTACAATTTTAAAGATTGTAAGCCATATTTCAGGGCAAGGTGGGAAGAGAAGTGCCCTCTACTTGTTTGCACAACTTTACAAAATAAGTTTGTTCACTTGCAGAAAGTTTTTCCAGCTGTTGTTACACTGTGTGTGCTACTGAGTGCTGCAAAATGTGGCCAGGAATTCCTCGAAAGGCAGGAATTCTGCGTAACAAAAATGCAGAAAACATGTGCTTGATAAAAATGGCAGGAACATTCTCCTCAAGGAGGGTTATTGAAATCCTGTTTTTGTAGAAATGGCACTGCTTCAGTGTCAAAATCTGAATGAAAGAAGTCTGCAAGAAAGTGGAAGCTCGAGGAGTTCAGCAGTGGTAGAACAAGGCATGTCATTGCACCTGAGGGGGCCTGGCGAGGACAAGTGCTCTTGTCGAAACAGTGGCTCTAATGACATGCTGCCCTGCCACAGTGGTCTAATGGCTAAGGTACTCAGCTGCTGACCCGCAGGTCGTTGGATCAAATCCCCGCTACGGTGGCTGCATTTTCGATGGAGGCAAAAATGCTGTAGGCCCGTGTGCTCAGATTTGGGTGCACATTAAAAAACCCCAGGTGGTCGAAATTTCTGGAGCCCTCCACAACGGTGTCTCTCATAATCATATGGTGGTTTTGGGTCGCTAAATCCCACATATAAATCAATTATTGACATGCTCTAGCACTGTTTATCACTTGAGTGCCAAAAATGCACAAGACACTGCCTTTCAAATTCTCAGGACAAAGCATGCAGGTTAGTTTCGCCAGTCAGACGTGCCTCTTGAACAGCATACGTCAAATTCAATGGAAATTACTGCTTCACACAACACACATATATTACTCAACCTAGAGTTCTTATGTACTTTTTACTGCACAGGAATTTTTTCACATGAGTTCCTTTGCACAAACAAAAACTCAATTCAATGTTTTCAACCTTCTTGCAGGTGTTAGCTTGTTGTAGTCTTAACGCCAGACATGGTGGCTTCTATCACATAATTTTCTCCCGCTTCCTTGCCCTCCTGGAAAAGCTCATGCACTTGAAAGCGTCTGTGCATTGCATCTTGCTGCCTTCTAGCAGCAGCTGTCTGGGCAGTGAACAGTGCCATGATTCCCCATGGCTTCTCCATTGTTATTTTGCGTGGAGCATTATCCATGAGAGATAGCGCATCAGCCATGCGGCTCTGCAGCTTCTTCAGGTCACTTAATCCAATGTTGCGGCTAGCATTCAACTGACGGTCAAGCGGGTTTTGCACAAACATGGCAGTATACTCAGGCTTCTCTAGGGTTTGTCCAGAGAATGGCGCAATGCCTTTGCTTTTGAAGTTGAACGATGCATAGTACTCAAAAAAGCTCCTCAAGAGGTCTTCTGCAAGAAAAAATGAAAGTGATGTGGTCACAGAGAAACATACACAATGAACGAGGATGAAGCATACTGCTTTTTTGCAAAACCTGTTGCTCTAGTTGGTGTCACAAGAAAACTGTCAATACAGTGTGTGGAGTGGGCATTATGTTGGCAAGTGTAATAAAGTTGCACTAATTCTTTCAAAATATAAGTGAACCTGACAACTTCAAGTAGTGTTTGCCTTACAACAACAAAAAAGCATATTTGCAAAGAAGACTGTGACCTCTTGGAATACACATGATGCTACTGGGACATAGGCTAGTGAAAAAACCAAGTTTGGCTTCAATTTTTTTTTATGTCCGAACATTCTCTTGCAAGTAATATCTTTTCATTTTTTTTAAAGGATTTTAACAAATGCAGAAAGGTACCCATGAGAACAATCAACTAGTATAGCTCTAATAACAATCGTATTATATTTGCGTTCGGCAATATATTTTGCGTATTTTGTAACAAGGGACTCCACCATTTTTTGAACACAAAAAAAAGCTCCTTAACCAAACTAACAAGATAAGATGAACAAGTTAACAATAAGGAATAGCATGAAGAAGCAAAACACAGCCAACAGAAGAGACACTGCAAGCAATGTTGCTAACACTGTCCTTTTGATTTTCTAGCATGGAAACCCTACCAAGAATGTGTACCGACTCACCCATGTCATCTTGGTTAATATGACTAAATAAAGCTATAGCTCACCAAGTTCTTCAGCTCTCCTATATGGTAACCTTGACTTTTGCCATATCTTGAGCCGCTTTTTGTCTGAAGTGATAAGTTAAAAAAAAAGCACAAAATGCCTTCACTTTCAACACTTACAGCTGTGAAGTTTCTATTTAGTGAATGCACCATGTGAAACACAAAAGGCATCTAACCTCAATAGACATCTGACAAGTAACAAAACAAATATATGTATTTACATTTCATGCTTGATGATGAGTGGTTTTTAATGGCGCAAGGGCTAATTGATAGCCAAAGAGTGCCGTTTCAAAAGACTAGAGATATGAACAATGATATGATGCCTGGCTGTAAGGGGGCCTTAAAAGTCCTTGCGCTAACACGGGTAAAAACATGGAAGTAATTAAATCATGACAGTGGTGTGAGATATGTGCAGTGAAAGTGGATGGCAAAATGTCATGACAATAAAACCATGATGGAGATGTAGCCACCGCAGCCACGACCACGGTACAGAGGTCGTGCTACGGATCACCTTGAAATATGGGGTGAAAGCTATGAACACCTTTTAAAAATGTGAACAGTGATTGCAGTTTAAAAAGCGGATCCTAACGATGAGCATACCAGGGTGTAGTGGGAGCTGCTGTCGGTAGGGCAGTAAGAAGTGCTTCTTTCTTAGAGCATCTAGCTCATT